TTCTTTAAATCTTTCTTTGGGAATTGTCCTTTTAAAAGCAATTCCACTTGGACACACCGGTCAAATATAAATTTGATTACAATATATCAATTCTCTTCTTAAAAATTTTTATCACCCTAATAGCTCCTTCATTAAATCTCTATCTAAAGATGGTTTAGTTATAAAGTAGTTTTTCAACCTATCATTAGTTTACTAGCTTGTTATTGTTTTCTTTTGATTGGATATACCTATATAGTAAAATTTTGTTAATAAACTTGGCCAAGTCAACATTAAAAAAAAAAAAAATTACATATATGATATAGATAAACTACTTCTGTTTTTCAAGTAAAATATCAATAAAGAAAGAAACATATTTCACAGTAGTGCCACTCTTTTTTGAAACAAAGAAACTAATAAAAGTGTCTATTGATGCAAAAAAAATTAAAAAAGAATCTATAATATTTGTATTCATATCAATATATTTCTCAAATTTAAATCTGATGTTTATAATATCTATTCAACTACTATAATTTCATATTTTAAGTTAGATTATAACTATAAATAACACTATATAAGATTAAATAAAAGAGAAGACTTTGCATATAATAAAAAAGGTACTGGTGGAAAAGAAGAGTTAGTCTTGGTATGAAGTGATTTGAAAGCCACACTATTACTACCACTTTTATACTATCAGCTGATTATTCTTTAAGGACTTTATTAGTTCAAGTTGTGATATTTCTTCTTCAACTATTTTCAATATAGTCATATTATGGTTTCTTGTCTCCCAGATTCAATCTTTTCTTTTGATTTTCATCTTATTCTATCTAGTATGAGACCTCTATTAATGTTCTTTCAGGTGATAATAAGTCAGAAGTTATAAAAGAGTTCTAGAATATAAGGAAGAAATAACTCGATAATATTATCAAAATGTTTTTCCTTAGGCTATATAAGTATTGAAAATAGGGTCCCATCATCTAATAATCTGTTTTTCTTTATCATTGTAATGGTTCTATTATAGAAAAGAAAGTCTTAATACATTCAATTTGCATTTTATTGGATTTGATAAATATTATGCTATTTTTCCTAGCATACCACTATCTTGAGAGGTTGAGCTATAACCTTTTTTTCTTCAGACTGTACCTTTTGATTGATATAAATAATAAATCTTCTAACCTATCAATCTAATGTTTCTAAAAGATATGTGTAATACTTTTTAAACATTATCCTCTTTCTATATATCCTTGAGTCTTGTTATAATATAGTTTCACTTGATAGATTTGTATAGTATATTGTTGAAATTCTTTTTTGATCAAGACACTAATATAGAAGAGATTGTGTCCTGTATCCATCTGCATCACAACCTAGTGTCTTAATATGAACCCAGGTTTTTATGGAATTGAAGAAATACATTCAGACACATAAAATGATCAATATAAGCTTGTTTATATTCTTTTACTAATATGTTTTCTGCTGGTCAATTACTGTTTGAAAAACTTTGTGCCATTTAAAATTCAGGATCAAATTGAGATAGGTAAATTTTTTCTAGAAAAAATTGAGAAAGAACACTTTTAGAATAAGTAAATAGTAAGAGAGTAGATGGTGCCTTCAATATAAGTATCTTATCATCAAAAAAGCTTTGTATTGTTTCTCTAATAGGTAAATAGATAACAGTATTTCAGTTCTTCTTTCTTTCAGAACTTTGCCATTGGTAGGAAAGGTATTCATGATTTTAATCACTAAAAGTCAGTTTTTGTTTGAAAAAAATATTTACAAAAGGAAAAGGGTGATAGTAATAATTTTTGAAGTATTATTTCAAGTTGGTTTAAGAAAAATAGTAAGACTTTATTAGTCAAGAAATATAAAAATTTCTTGTGAACATCTTTTTTGTGTGTAATCAGAAGATTAATGGAAAGAGTTTTTTTGATTTTATACTTTTTGTAGATGATGGATAGTTGATTAGTTAATATTTTAGTAAAGTAATTTTTCACAGTTTTCAGAACAATTGATTTTATATTGATCTATATAATAATTTGTTTAATAAATAATTTCAATTTAATATAGAATAAAATTATTATGTTTTTTGGATTAACTAGAATTTTTAAAATGTTAATGAAGACTTAACATTTATTTTAATTCATAAATTATTGCCTATTATTATTTGATGTCTTTAGATTGTTTACTATAAGTAAATATAAATTTATAATTAATTTATAATAATATGAATTTTGAATTAACTTGTGATTTAATTATTTAATGATTTTTTTTTTTCGATTGAATATAATTACGCATCCATAAAGATATTAATTTTGAAAAAAAAAAAAAGTGTTGCATTAGTGAATTTAATTTGATTCACATTTTCTAATATAAGTTGGGTCTTTTAAAAGAATTTAAAAAAACGACTTGATATAACACATTCCTTACAAAAAGTGAATGTGAAACAGAATCACAATTTATTAATTTATTTAATGCGCGACATTCAAACTTCTTGTCCAAATTTTAAAAATAATTTCGTATCCTGAACGCATATTGTTTGAAAGCAACAAATGTAACCAAGGAAAACTATTATTTCTTTTGCAATAAAAATAGATTTTTGAATCAAATTGATAAAGAAAATAACTAAAAATGTGATGAAAGAGAGAAGCTATATACACAATTTTAACCGCAAGTTTGAAAAAGAATATTATTCTAATATATATTATATAATTAATGAGTATTAATGGCACAACGAAAATGCACTTATTATCCACTATCAAAACGAAGGCTAGACCGACGAAATTTCTTTTCAGTCAGAAACTGGGGTCATACGAGAGTTTAAAGTTTTTATATATCCAGTTTTAGTATCACGACATGAGATTCCAAAAATCCCATTAGATTTGAATCATTTCTCTTCTAATTTAACTAGAACGGCTTCCAATTCTTCTTCCGGAACAACGGGCCCATTCCCAGAACATCTTGCTTTTGATTTTAACTCGGCACAAAGTTGATCGATTTCATCTCCCTCCAGGTCATCAAACTTCGGATGTTGTTGAATTCTTTCCCATACCTTGGTACATGGTAAGAACTTTTTGCTTTTGTCATCCAATGAAACAACATAAGAATGCTTATTTTCATCAATCGAGGCTGTGATTGACGTAAAACCGCCAAATTCTTGAAAGTTTTCGTCAAATAGCGGAGGCAAAGGAGTTGACTCTGAGAATGGATTGTCAATATTTTGGATGAAGGGAGTTGGGTCCCGATATTCGGTGAACGCTGAAGATAATCTACTCGAGGATTCACCCTTGCTACCATCCTCACACCCTCTATCAGTCAATTTCTCACAGAACTCTTCGGCACTCTTGGGCTTAGACGAAGGTAATTGTACTGATGAAGATGCAGCAGATGAATTGTGACTACTAGACGTTAATGGTAATATTTGTGGCGAACTTTTTGATGATGGGTTAGACGCATCCTTGGTCTTATCGGATTCCCCAGCAAGAGCCGAGTTTGGTGTGCTTGGCTCGTCATCGCTTGCATTTGAGGATGGAGGAGTATAAGGATTGAGAGGATTTTCCGCGGGATTTGGGGATAAATTAGCATGAGGTGACACGAGATCTGTGATATCTTTATCGAGTGCAGTTGTTGCTTCATCGGGAGTAAATTCAAAATTAAAACTGGTTTGTTTAAGTAGAAAATTCTCATCTTGTAACTTTTCAACAAGCTTCTTTAATTGTTGATTTTCCTGAACACTTTTTGCAGAAAGGGATTCAAGTTCTTCAATTTTACTCTCAAGTTCCTTGACATAACGTTCCTTGCGTTCCCGAAATGCACGTTGAGCTGCTCGATTTTGAGCTTTGCGTTTCTATAGAAATTTAATAATCGATAATGCATTACACTTAACGTTATATATTTTTCGGAAAATTTAAAACGTTAACGGAATACATACAGAACTGGGTGTGTTGGTCAATGGTTTTCTTCCCGGCTTTTTTTTTTGTGGCTCAACGGGCGGATCTGATTGTTCGTTCCCTGAAATCGGTTGAACACCTTCGTCTTTTACAGTATAACAAAGTATGTGAGATAAATAGATATAGGCTGAGACACGGATCATTTGATCACCTACTTTCAGCCGATAATTCGGGATGAGGAACCGAAGCAATATTAAGATTGTCTAAGTATAAGGTGGGAATGTAATGAGTTTGTTTTCATCACCTTTACTATTGGAAATATGTATGGGCAAAAGAGTAAATTGTTAGGTAACTCACGATTAGCTTTAGAGGGAGTTTGTTGAACGATGTCCTCCAACATCTCTAACTTTCGTTTCTGATCGTCATCGAATCTGTATTGATCGTTTCGGGTTATGGCGGCAACTAGAAGTTTCTGGGCTTCTATATTGTCCTCGATTGATGTGAAATCCCAAGTAAAGGTCGGATCTCCAATCGAGAATACGTTATTAGAGGTGGTAAAATCGTCGGTAGTAGAAAAAAAAGGATCCATAATTTTGAGAAACAAAATGATTGGAAAACTAGTTATTTATAAGGTTTTACGAGTGAGGGCCTGTCTAATTGGTCAGTTATGATGCACGTTATTGTTGAACTAAAATCTAATCGAAGTTGTTTTCTTTCTGACGTTGGTACAATAGGTGATACTCCAATTTAAGAATGTTACACGGCTCACTTTATCTGGAGGGAATAAAAATTCCTTCTGTGACACTGCGTACAACTTCGATAAATTTAGATATAAATTTTCGGCATATCACACACATAATGGCCTTCTTTGGTATATTAACCAGGACCGAGGCCGGTTGTGAATCGTTTTCATGCTTCTCATCACTATTGCATATTTAGAAAATATCATCGCGAAGAAATACGGAATTCCCATCATCAGCTTTTGAGGCTTTCGCTTCCAGAATGAAACATTTAAAGCTTTATTTGTGATAGATAGTATTTGCCGTGTCACCAAGGACAGATTTATTCGCATCGTGATAATCAAAAATATACAATATATGAAATACTGTAATCTAAATTTTAATATTCACGAAAGATCTAATATCCTAGCGGATAACGATTACGTGTGATTTCAAAGATTTTAGCATATAAGCGAGCATATCTGCTAAAAAAGATGCCATATTTGGAATGTTGAAATATTTCTAGGGTTAAAATTAATATGATTTTTATTTTATTTTTATTTATTTATTTATTATTATTATTTTTTTTTCTTTAATGTAAAATGTAATATGCGAAGAGTAACGAAGAGACGGTCTCAGAAATTAGCCGAAATCAGCCGGCCTGAGTTTTTTTTTTTTTTTTTATATATAAATTCGCATCCAACCGGGGTCTATTGTTAGCGATATTGGCGTTTCACTTATTCAGATCAAAGTAATCCACTTTCTCTAGGCTGAGTAGGAATTCCAAAATCCAGTGATAATAGTTACATTTTGTAACCCAGAAAAATCAAAGAAATCTCAGCTGCACCTTACAATTATGATTTTGTCGGCATATTGAAATTTGCCAAGTGAGTGTTTGTAATTTTGATCTTTCGATTCGTTTGTTTCCTTTTTTTCTGTTTAGGTTTGTCCTGTAATCAATTAGTGTATACAAGTTAAAGACATAAGTTATAAATAATAAAAAAGAGAGCATGTTTGAAGACGCACCTCGGTTCGGGTTTTATTTTCGAGGACAGCCATTGTCTGCAATCCAGCTGTAGACGAATGCATCGTTTTTATTTTAATTCTTAGCCCTCAGAGAAACATTGAAAGACAACTTGACATATTACTAACCAGCTTCAAGTGATTTCTTTAAATCACTCTCATCCGGAACTTTTACGCTGTTAAACATATCCACAAACTCTATAGAAACAGAAATATCAGTAAGAACATAAAAACAAACAAACAAGTAAGTTCAACATAACATGATAGTACCTTTATCCATGGGAGTGTTATACCGTTGATCATTCCAATACAATAATCGCGGAGAATTATCTTTCATAAGACGTATAACCATAATCTTTCCTTCACTTTCTAACTCCTAATTTAAACAATTAATACATGTACTAATTTATAAAACACATCGAACCATCCAACAACTACCTCTATAACTTTTGTTAAATCAGTACAATCGTCCAATTCTTTGAACGACATCCCACGAGGAACACCAACTTTATCCTTCCTTTCTTTTAGCAGGTTCAACAAGTCTTCTTTTGATCGAATAGGATAAACTGGCTGTAAATGTTAGATGATTAATCATTCTCCCATTGAAAGTAACAACATATTGATGAATATTTCAAAACTTACCTTATATTGGAATGTTCTATCCTCGGGGTTGTATACAATTTTTGGATTTTTGATCATTAACTCATACAATTTACTATTACTAGTGATATCTGCTATGTTCTCCCTCTTAAGATCCTCTGCGGTTTGTGGCGAATCTATTTTTTCCTATCACATAAATTTAGGTAAGCTACAGTATAATGTATTTAACATTTCATATTCTTGAGCTAAGAATGATTGTTCACCTTGAGAAATCTAATCACGTTATGAAGCTGACTCAATGTATGTTTGAAAACTGTTCCCGCATCACTCGACTGCGGGTAAACTGAGTATGAATTAAAAAATATATATGTTAAATAACTAAGATCTCAAGACAATAAAATACATGGATTATAGTTTACTGACCAGCTTTCTTTGCCTTTTTTTTGGGATGTGCATCGGCGACTCTCGAGCTAGATTGAGAATTTAAAGAGGCTGTTGCGTTTTTTGATGTATTAGGAGGAGCATAAACAGGTTGGGAGGCAACCTGCCTCCTGAATGCCTCATAACTCTCATTTAAACTTGACATTGTTGCTAAAGAATAAGAGTGAACATATGTTTGTGTTTATATACAAGAATATGGCTTGTGATACGCCGCATCGTGATCTGGTCTTCAAAAAATGTCATTATTCCTTAATCGATCCTCAACGATTGGTCAACATCTCATATTAAAAGCTAATTTTATAACTCGGGTAGTTGTAATATCTTATTTAAAATAATAAACTCAAAAGTTTTTTTGATAATTTTTAAGTTATAAACTTATCCAAGTTAATTATTTATTAATTATTGAATTATTTAATAAAAATTTTAATTCAAAAGGTTTATTAAATGTTTGTATACTTTACATTATTAAATGTTTTGCTAAAGCTAAATCTCTATTTAACTTACTTGTCTCCATTTTAAATTTCTTAACTCTAAGTGTAACTTCAAAAATGATTTATCACTTCATTAGTAGTTCAGGTAAAAATCCTTTCAACTGCTAATTTCATTGCCTGCAGGTCATTATTGCAGATTACTTTTTTGATATTCTGATTGGGCTTAGAATTCCAACCACTTTATTTCATGCTTTACTCCTTTTATAAAAATCTTTTTAAAACTTATAATTTTTTGACTTGAAAAGATTGGGAATCTTTTTATCTTACCTTTTCTACCAATCCCTTGAGTTTACATCCTATGTTTCAAATTTTTTTTTTGAACTTGATTGCAAACTCTTTTTTACATCTTTATTATTCATTTTCTAGTTTCTTTTTCTATATGTTTGTCATAACATTTTAGATTTGCCATTTCTAAAATGAAATCTTTTTTTACAAAGCTAATATAAAAACTTAAGATATCTTGATTAGTTATAGAGGTCTGTTTCACTAGTCTAGAAATCCACTTATCAAACTTTCCTAGTTCTTTCTGATCATTAATATTCAATCTATTATTTTTTCCTTCTATCTTCTTTCTTCTTTCTTGTTGAAGCTCTTTAAAACTTTTGAGAATTTTATCTATTCATTTATTTCATGCTTCTTGAAGTTGATTCTTATAGGCTAAGTATTTTAGCAAATATTTTATTGTTTTATTCTATTGGCTATATGTAATATACTTTACTTACTTATATAGATTGAGTCTTCTTGTAATCAACTTACATAATATTGATGGCTAATTATCAATCAGTTTAATAAAAAAACTTTTTTGTTATGAATTTTTAAAAGATATATTTCAATATATGAGCATTTTTTATTTTTTCCCATACTAAATTTCATATATAGATTTGCTATTCAAAATTTGATAGCTCCATTTTTCTTCATTCAATTTTGTTGAGTTTATTAATATGCTGTTATTTTGTTGTTCATATTTTTTATAAACTACATAATTGAATCATTTAAAATCTTGTTTTGTTATCTAATCCCTGTAATAATCTTATGAGAGTTAAGATCTTTTTATTTGATTGGTGGGGGTTTTGGAACTTCTTTAACTAAGGCATCTATTTCTTTATTATAAGAATTATTGAAGTATACTTTAATTTTGATAAGCTTTAGGTTTATTATTTTTTTTCTTTGTTAGCTTCACTATTAATACCTATTTTTTCTTTGTTAGCTCCACTATTTATGCCCTTAAAGACTAATTTTTTTCCTTTAGCTATATCTTATATAATCTTTTCAAATATTTTTTTCCCATCATCTTTCATTTAGTGATACAAGCCTAACTATCTGTACAAATCTCAACTGTACTATTAATGAGAACTACTAGAAGTATATTAGAATTACTATCAACTCAACCTTTGTAGAAGAAGATCAATTATCTACTTCTATTTAAAATTTGCTTTATTTTCTAGTGTTTTTTATTTGAATTCATGTTAGAATAAAAAATCAACTTTTTTTTAAATCCTAGATTGCATTAAAGTATTTCTATTAACTGATCTAAATATATTTCTTCTTCAATATTTTCTTCAATTATAGTTTCTTCTCAAGTTTCAATATTCATATAATTTACTTTGTTATTTTGAGAAAAAGTCTTGAAAGAATACTGATCTTTATAAATTTCTTTTATAATTATATTCTTAAGTATTGCCTTGAGATTTGGAATTTTTAATTCTTTTGTTCTTCTAATGGATATTCTTTTATTGAGATAAAATATTGTATAGATTCTTTTTTTTCCTCTTTTTATGATATAGCCATTATTTTATATTGTTTCTTTTGAGCATCCATGGTATTTTTATAATCTTGTTTCCTAATTATTATTAGTATTGCAATAGATAAAGTGTTTCACTATTGTATTATATTTCTTTCTTGCTTATTTTAATTTTTCCTAAATTAATTAATCATTCTTATTGCTCTATATTGCTTATAGTTTATATTGCTTGTCTTAATTAGAACTTATTTTGAAGTATTTCAGTTTTTATTTTATACAGTCTTCTTTCTAGATTATTGTAAGCTATTATATTTATCTAATTAAGAGGTTTTCTATTATGATTTGATATTACTCTAGGATGGGTTCTTTATTTATATTCTATATCAGTTGAAGTATTTATCAATTTATACTTTTCTGATCTAATAACTGATCTAAGTACATCAGTTTATTATTTCTTAAAAATAATATAGTCCTTTTGTATTTTTCTGATATATAATAAGGTATTCTTGAATCTGACTATTTTTTTTACTTTATTCAAATACTTTTTACTATTTTCAATTATGAAAAGTTATTTCTATATCTTTTACCAATTTAGTTATCTGAAGCAAGAAGTTGTTGTTTTTGTTTGATAAATAGTTTAGTAACTTGCAAGTTAATAAATTAAGTGGTTTCCAATATTTGATTTATACTTGCTTGAATCCAATAATTGTTATAATTTTAATTAATCCTGAATTATTTAGCCTATTGCATAGATCTGTTATTTGACTTTCTTGTTATAGTGTAATCAAATTTATATTTGACCGGTGTGTCTAGTGGAATTGCTTTTAAAAGGACAATTCTCAAAGAAAAAATTAAAAAATGATTTATAATAATTAAAGAAG